TAAAGAAAGCAAAGAATTGGATTTTGACTTTTTTTTTTTTCCTTTTTGGACTGCGTAAGCCAGAATCCACGGTGCATCAGGTGGCTATTTGAGTTGAATTCACCTTTTGCTTTGATCACGTTTAAGTCTTAATTTTTTATTTTTTGAATTATAGTTTTGTTCAAATAGTCACTACAATTACTATACAACGCTTTAAGGGGGCAATTTGAAAATTTCTGACATCCTGAAATAAGTATTAGCAGGTGAGAACTTCACAAAACCAGGGATCAGAAATCAATCCAAAGATTGGTACATTCATACTAACAATATAAACACATATTATGACTGTATTGCACCAATAGTAACACTATGCTTCAATTTGTCTGATTTCATCCAACTGAAACACCTCACAGATAAAGCCACTCATTTTAAAATTTACTGATGACTAAAACGTGGAAATTGAAAATGCATTTAGGAAGTTCAGATAACTGTACTTAAAATGCATTCATATAACAAAACGATGCATCTAACTCAGAAAGGTACTTTTACTAAAATAAAATGATGTTTTGTAAGAACTGCAATCATTTGTAACATAAACGAACCTCTCAATGTTCTCTGTTGTCCCTGACAGACTTGCAATACTGTCCAGAGCAGGAAACAGGGAGTAGTTTGTCTGCCCATCAGGCTCCATCTCAGACTCAAACGTATTGAGTGACTCCATTGACCACAGGGCAAATGCGCTGCTGGGAAAATAGAAATGTTAGAGCAGCCAACTCAAACATCTGCACCTTCTATGTGTATATCTAGAGCCAAATGTCTGTAAGTAAAACCACACATGTTATTAGTTTGCTTTCCAAAAGCAGAAAATACCTTCAGCAATGCAGCAAATCGGTTTGTGCTCCTCTGTTATTTCCCCTCCGAAGCGGAACCTTTCTTTTGTTTACATAAAGAGATAAAGCGCTAAAGCTAAATAGCATGCAGCTGCAGTAACAGCAATGCTCTGCGGTGCTTTACAAATTAAATTCTAAAGAAAACAGTCCTTTATAGGCCTATATTTGTCCCAGTTGAAATCTTTAATTTAAAGTAGCTAAAACTGAATAAATGCCTGGCGTTGCTATCGAGCATTTTAGTCATGAGCACTCTCACAGGATATCCGGTTTAGTCATTCTTTTTTTTTTTTACTAAACCTTTATTTAAAACAGACAGGACGTTTCGATGAAAACGTAATAGAAAGGGTTCTGTTATAAATCTAAATGAGATATAATATATAAGAAAAAAGGAAGTTAAAATTAAAACACAAAAAACTGTTTCTTTTACATTAAAATACTACAGTTGTAAAGACAACAAAAGTTTGCTAGTGAAGGTTCTCAGTCATCCAGGTCATGGTCATTCCCAAAAAAATTAAAAACAATCCACTGAACTTGGTTTCCAAGTTTGAAGACGTCTTCAAACTTGGAAACCAAGTTCAGTGGATTGTTTTTAATTTTTTTGGAATGACAACGAAAGTTATTTAAATATGTTATTATAACAGTTTCAAAATGTCCTGCGAAAATTAAATTTGTTTTATTTGTATCTGTCGATTCATCTTGTAGTGGTGCGTCAAATGCAACGTAGATTCCCATCCAATTAGATTGAATTTGGTGTTGATGACGTGAAAAATAATAACGGTAGCTCCATTAAAATGATTCAAAACTAAAGTAACGAGACAATTTTTTTAAATGTAGGGAGTAGAAAGTACAGATATTTGTGTAAAAATGTAAGGAGTAGAAGTAAAAAGTCGCCATAAAAATAAGTAGTAAAGTAAAGTAAAAATATCAGAAAAATCTACTTGAGTATTTGTACTTCGTTACTTCCCATCTCTGTTGATGGGACATGATGTGGGATAAATGTGTGCATTGATGACTGAAAGACATCTTCTGCCTCCATTTATCTGTTCACTACAGTGTGTTGAATTCATGTTGATGCGTATTTAAAGACATTTGAAATAGTGGACAAAAATTGCAGGGGGGAATATAAAAAAAAATAATCAACCGAAACTTTCGTGACCCCCACGCAGTACCTCCGAGGACCCCCTAAGGGTCGCAGACCCCCTGTTGAAGACCTTTATTTTAACATTAAATGTCATCACTAAAGACAGAAAGGCTAACCTGAAATTTTTTTGTTCTAATAAATCACTATTTTAGATTGAAAACATTGCATATTAGTGAATAAGACAGGATTGATTTTTATTTTTTTTTTGTATAACATGATTTTATTTTATTTGCTGTTGTTTAATATCATAAAAGTAACACAGAAATACGAAAAAAATACTACTTTAGGCATTTGCAGTACCTGCATACTAAACTGACATTAATATAAATACGTATTTAAAGCATACCACATACACTCTGTTATACTTGCCCTGTTTCTGTATTCATTAAGTTTCCTGACAAAATATAAAAATCTAATTTTTTTAAACCTAAATTAAGATCAGGAATAACAAAATGTATTGTGGTATAAAGTAGTCCACACATTCCTGCATTACCAGAGAACCAGGTTTAATAATTTACTTACCCATCTAGACAATATCCTCCAGTTGTAATGACAGAGAAAGAAAATAAATTCTTACAGTGTCCTTTTATCTAGAGAAGAATTTTTCCAAGTTCATGTAGTGTGTAAGAATTTTCATCTCAGATGTGTGGGGATAGTTACAAATATCTTCCAGGGTGTTTTATTCTTCCTTCCTCGCTCATTTAGGGTTCCTCAGTCAGTACATCATACAGTATAATGAAACACCAAGTTACATATTTGGGTTTAACAGAGACTCAGTTATTTATTAATATACACAGAACAAATTTCTTTTGAATTATTCTTTATTTTTTCTGGGTCTCCTCTTTATTCTGACAAACACGCTTTATGATGCAAACTCTGAAGATTGTGGCAAACAAGCATGAGAAGATAAACATTTCATAATGGTTTCTAGACAGCTCAACAGCAACCTTGTTGTCTAAGTTGTCTAGCTTGTTACTCAACCTGTAGGTGTACAAAATCAGTTTTAACATTTATTTGTAATACAGGAATTTGTACTGAGATGTTTTAATCCAAATATTTTGAAACATGGCATCGCTGAAAGAGCTATGTAAACATCTCAAGTGATATAGATGGAAAACATTGGTTTATTGTACCAAAACGAAGAGAAAAAATAAACTGTTTCAAATAACTATATCAAAATTTGACCCTTTTGCACTTTGCTGATTCATATTCTTTTCTACAGTTGATTTCTTTCTAGTAAATTTGCACTCATATAAGAGTATGGAGGTATGGAATGTACAATTCTTCAATTTTGGGACTTTAGCAAAATGCCATGAGCTCCATGAGCCACAAACTGTGTAAAATGGAACTGTTAAGATGTCCATGGATAATAATTCAAGAGCATATCATGACTTAAGAGAAGAGAACCAAAAGAAAAATTAAAGCTCCACAGGCCTCATTTGATTCAGTCAATTGCTACATTTCCATCCAGAGAAAATGTAAAATAAGCATCTTTCAACTAGTACTGGCAATGTTACATGCAGTAGGAGGACGTAGTAAAGAAATTGGAATTCTGATGCATTACTTTATGGGATTCTTCATGCGGGGTAAATGTTAGCAATGTGAGAACTTATTTGGCAAATTGGCTTCTAGCTTTTGTTTCGTTCTGACTCCTTTTCGTAATAGTTAAAACTGCCTCAAATGAGCATAAAAACATTTTAAATGAAACTGTAGAAGTTATTTGAAATTTTTAAATTAACTGAAATTAAGTTTGTTTTGGTATGTTTCCACACCATGCCACAAAGTGGTCCACCATTTTTCTTGTTCTCAACTTCTTGCTCATCTCTAAGGGTCATCTGACTATTTCTGCAGATGACAGGAGACTGTCTTGTACTAGAAGTCAGAGCTGTACAGAGTAAAAAGAAATGATAGGGTTTCCATTTCAGCAATGCTCCTGTTCTGCTGACTACCTAGTAAGACACTTGACCCTTCAGTCTCACAAACTATGGTCAATTTGTAAAGTAGTCTTCGATTCGGCCGATATTTAAAGCTTCCAGTGAAGTTTTCTGGAGTTTCTGACAAAGCAAACTGAGCTGAATTGTGACATATGCACTGGAGAAATCAAAGAACGTTACCCTTTTTGGCTGGTCTTCATGATACAACAGAAGTTGCTTCCAAGGTGTTTCAAACATGGTGGTGTTCCCTACAAATAATTTTACAAAGGGATGGATCATTAAGTGTACAAGGACTGCTCTAAAGAACAATGACTTGTATTAGGTTATGTATTTAGGTTTAAATACACACTATGACATTTATTCTAGACCATTTCACCCTACCCAGCATTCTAATGTGTGTCACATTAGATTTACTCCAACTCTGCATGATGCTCCCATAATGATATAAGTGGTGAGAATTCATTGCTTTCTGCTTCATTGTGAGCAGCTGCATTTTTAGTGATGCTATCATGTAGTTTAATTCTTTTCACATATTTTAGAATCAAATGACAATTTGAAAAGTTTTTTTTATAGCCTAATTAGTCAAACAGGAAAAAGAGTTATAGGGGTTACTCTCATTTTTAAGCACCCCGTATCACGAGGTGAGTAAGGCATCTTGGTAGAATAGTGTGAGATTAAGCCATGTATTAATTGATTCATTGCTGTAATAAGTCAGTTACATCTGACTTTATTCTGCAGCAGATACACACTTCCTTACAGCTTATGTTACAACTTGTTTTTACCAAAGCTTTGTTGTTGTAAAGTTATGCTGTACTCTGCCATATAGAGGCAAGTACATTCACATTCTGAAAACATAATTTTAAATGACTGTTCTGTTTTAAATATGCCTGAATTTTGATGCTTCATTTTTTATTTGTACATTTTTAATTTGTAATTTTAAAATCCAGACAATAAACATGTTCTCTGCTTTCTGACAAAAACTATTAACATGTCAACTCAGATGTTAACTCATTACTTAAGTGACCTTTTTAACCAACACTCTTTGTTAATTCTTGATTGACACATTTTTGGACAGCTCCTTTTTTACATTTACTTGAATAGAAATACGTTAAAGCAGTGCTACTCTTACTTAGTTTAAACTTTGGCAACTCTACCTCCCTTTAATTACTTTAAGTGGCACATATGAGATTAAAGGCAAAAGATGTTTGCTGAGAATCTGTTTCTGAATGATAATCATCCAATGGAATATTTCTGGGAATCAGGCCATACCATAGTGAAATTACTTCACTATAACACCTGTTTTTTTAGAACAGAATAATTTAACAATTATTACAACAACAACATCGGAAAAATATTTATGAGCAAAAACGGATTTTATGTAACTCAGCTCCATGTTCATGGTTAATAAATGTCAGGTTTTACACACATTTCAAGTATTTAATTATTACATTTAGGTTCATTTCAATGGGAACTTTCATGATAAATTGCAGAAGTATATAGCCCCTTAAAAAAATCCCGTAAAAACAACAAATCACAGAGCATGGGCTTAGGGTTTGCACAATGAATGATTAAAGCAGTATTTTCGTTGTACAGAGGTTACAGTAGATTGCGGATCAGCCATGCAACAGTATAATCCCTGTTTAAGAAATACAAGTTTTGTTAGGTTTATTTTTTTAGCTACATAAAGTGTGGGTTTTCAGTAAGTCAGCATCCCAGCCAAGAATTTCCTGTAATTATGTTCACCACCCGCTTCTGTCTGAAGTCATACTGGTAGGATTTCGTACCGCTGAGGAGGAAGATGCTGCCTGCGTAAACACAAATATACAAGAAATATAGTTTGAAACCCCAAATATGCTTAAATTAAACAATAATTATACCCTTGAGCTGTTTCTTTTATGATTTTATGCTTTGGGTTTTTTTTAATCAACCACTACATTTGGAAAAAAAAGAGAATTCCAGCTTCTATTCTATTTTTTTTTTTTCAATTTGTGTTGTTCCCAGGTCTACGTAACATAAAATGAATCTGTGAACAGAGTTTCTCTCATCTTACCATGTAACTTAAATGCAGCATCAACCCTTCTTGGGATTCCAGGCCAGTCTGTTTGGGTGAGCCTGGGGAAACCCGGGTCCATATGACTCCTGTTCTCATCATAGCTGAAATCATATAAAGATAATTACTCTGGATATTTGTCAGACAGAAAGGCAGTCAGATATAGCTTGAATTAATGGTGGCAGCCTTTGCAATTCTGGAGTATAAATTAAATCTTGTACATTGCTGTAAGCCCGTCTTTTCATACAGTACAATTAGATTGTATTGTCTCATTTTTATCTCTGCAAAATATGACAGGAAAAATGTTTTTCAGGCAAAATCTAACTGATAGGGGGAAGAAACCCAAGCATGCTGAATAATAAAAGTGACTCTCATCTATTTATTTTATGCAAATACATTATTATATCTTGTCTCTGTATTTAATTATAATTTAAATCAAATTGCACAGGATCTATCTTCTGTTAAATGCAGAAGTTCTAATTATTGTTTTTTTTCTCACACCATACAAATCTACAGTAGCATTCAAACAGGGGTGTTTATACTGTACAGAACCAATATAAACATTTTATTACATCCAATTTGAACAGTAAAACAGTTAGACAAACTTTATTGTCATTTTGTATACACAGAAAACACATAAAAATATGCACACAAAATTTTGTTTATGCAGCTTTCAGGCAGTGAATGAGCAGCAGCTTAGCAGTAAAAAGGAACATTACCATCCATAAAGTGCAGAAGTAATCCATTGTAAACATTTTGAGCGAGACATGGTGCAAAACGGCATTGATGTGGAAGTTCAGAGCAGTGCAACTAAGAAGAAGTTTCTTAAGAGCTAGACGGAGACTTTCCTAACTTAATATTGTAGCATCTGGTTGTTGGATTATATTTTATTCTTTTGTTTCTCTTATAAAAAACATGTATGAAACAAGAGATTACCTGTAATATAAGGGTCCTATGAAGAATATGGTTTTCCCATATTCCTTATTATGAACTGCAGCATCAACCTGTCGAACACTGGGTGGCAAACCGAACTCTGAGATGTTGCCAGTTGTACTTCTTGTCTTTAATTGTTGCACTACCCAGTACTTACGACCTGAAAAAACAATGCAGTTATGTACATGCATTTTGAGACACAATGAAAAACAGCAGCATACCACAGACACTGCTAAACTCAGAGAGCCTGTTGCATAACCTACAACACTTAGTTGCAATAGGTTGTAATTTGGGTGTGACACTGCCTTCTCCAGCTGGGAATCAAGCCTTGTCATGATGACATGGCCTGAGCAAAGCTTTGCAGAGTGCCCATTATCTTTACCAGCGAATAGGTATGTCACGCCTTTGGCTGGGATGTCATAAGCTGCATCGACAGGAGAACCAATGCCTGGTAAATATGTACTGATGTAACCTTCTCTTAGGCGATTCCAGTAAGTCGACCTGGTTGTTCTCATCCACATGAATCTGGATAAAATAAAACATCTACACTTAAAACATATCCAGCACACTTCGCCAAAGTGTAATTCCCACTTTACCTGTTCTTAAAGAAAACAATCTCATTTTCGATCACTGCAGCAGCATCAAAAAAAAATGTGGGATCACATTTCTTTGGAACTGGAGGTCGAGTTTCAGTATCTTTCCTGGGTTTTCCTAATTGGCAGTAATACCATAATTTACTTTTTTATTGTTTTTGTTTTTTTCAGAAAAAAAAATATATTTTCCAAATAAAATATGTTCCTCACCGTACAGCATTTGGATTCCCAGGACATCATCCCTGGAAAGTGCGTACTGTTTGCTGCTGTGAAGCCTGTAATTGGGGAACATGACAGCCGAGGGGTCTCTGGAGTGAGTCAAACCCAGAGAGTGACCAAATTCATGAGCTGCAACAGCAAAAAGGTTGTAACCTGAAAAAAAAACCGCAAAACAACCCAGTGTTAGATCATTTGAAACATAACTACCAGTTATTAAACCTGACATCAAACTTATGTTTGTTAGTTTCAAACTTTATTTTCATTCTCAGGTTTTGAGACTCCATAAAGTCCCACTGTATTGTACACTAGCAAGGCTGGTCGGTTCCAAATGGTATAAAGGGAAGTGTCCGGCTAGTTTATTCTATGTCCATCACGCTGGATCAGTCATGATCTCAGTAGGGTCAGACCTAATTAAGTGTATTTTGTTTGCTGAATATCACAAACCTTGCATCCCTGTTGTCCAGGTTTCATCTTCATCAAAGTGTACATCTCCACCCACCCCCTCTCCAGGTTGAAAGGCATGAGCCAGCACACCTCCAGGCCCATCAAAAGGAGAAAAGTCTCCATGAGCTGAAAAAACATACCAAAAATTAACAGTCTATAAATCCAATCGTTTTTAACTCTTTAGAATTTAAAGCTAAGACAGCAGTTCCTCTGTCATGTGTTTAGATTTACCTTTGCGTGCAAAGGAGAGGACAATATCAGCTTTTCCATGGTCGACTTTAATGAAGCTCAGAGGAGCTGCATCACTCCACATCTTTAGGGCTAAACGAAAAGCCTTTTCCACCTCCAGTTTACTCATGTCCGAAGTATACTTCGTAATCCTGCATACGGCATCAGACATAGCAAAGGTAGCATGTGCAATATAAAGGTAGTTATGTATTTCACAGTAATATTATTTGCCATAGTAAAGCAGTCTCACGTGTAAGAGATGGTATAGTTTTTCCATTTAGGCCTATAAGGATAAAAACTGTAGTTGTCCAGATCAGGAACACCACACCGTGGCTTTTTCATCACATCCAGGGTTTCAGAGTCTAGGATTCCTGTTTCCCTCAGACCAAAAAAGTTCTGCATTTGTCTGATCTTTTGCTCCCTTGGTGATGAGGACCTGATCCTACGCGGTGGACTCCTGAGGTCTTTGCCTCCGAAGCTTGGACTGTAGAACCTCCTTAGATAGCTCTGTTAAGATGTGCAGTAGAAATGTTCCTTTTGATGAGGACTTTTTCAAGTTTTTTCATGTAGTGGCTTTCTTAAATGAAAATTTTGATTGTAGCATGAGTATCTATTATTTGAATCTATTATTGAATTTCTAATGTCATTTTAGAGTAAAGTCTGGTATTTAGAAGGTTTGTTTGCATTGGGAAAAAAACAAAGTATATGTTAACACATGTAAAGATGAATTCAATTTCATGGTAAATGGCCTGTACTTATTTAGCGATTTTTCAAGTCAGAAGACTTGACCAAAGTGCTTTACAATACAGTCAGTCATTCACACACACACTGATGGTGGTAAGCTACATTATAGCCACAGCTGCCCTGGGGCTCACTGACAGAAGTGAGGCTGCCGTAAGATGGCGCCACCAGGCGCTCTGACAACTATCAGTAGGCATTGCATGTGAAGTGTCTTGCCCACAACAACACTGAAGGCCAGAGCTTGGGCTTGAACTAACAACCTGCCAGTTGCAGGGCAAACTCCTGCATCCAACGCCACTGTCGCCCCTTTCACCACAGGTGAACAAGATTTCCACTATGTCGTTGGTTGCAGGGTAACTTTTATAATTTCTTAAGTGCAAAAATGATGGATTAAACTCATAACTCAGTCATTTCTTTAGTTTTTGCATACAAATTAATTTCCTGTCTTTAAAGTGGGGAAACACACAAAAAAATTATTTCAATTAAAAGTTAAATTTTTTATTTAAACAACATTTAACTATATTTTATGAATTAAGGGCCTCTGGTGCATTATTTACCAAATGTTGATATCTTCCCCTATTAATACCTTTTACCGGCTAAAATATGCATATCTAGTTTACATAGCTGTAATATTTGAAAATGAAATTCTATTACTGAAGTAACAAATATACACTGTTAAAATTATTTGCACAGAGTTACATGAGACCAATCTGCAGAACTGCTATTTACAGACAGACCTTTGCGAGCTGGATATCATCCGCAGTCAGATGCAGATCCTCATCAATGGGTCGAGTCCATGAGATTTCCACCAATATCAGAGAGACCAAAACCATGTTGCGCATCCACAACAACTCCATTCTTTAGTGTTTGTTTCAGACGACTAAACCTTGTTTTTATATGAGAGATTTCATGAGGAAAGTGGGTAATCACGTGATCCAAAGGTGCTTAATTATCACAGTTACAGTGAGGCCTACCTAGAGGTTTGTGGTTGACACTTAAATGCCAATAAATGTATGGAATTTATGGAAAACTGTGTTTTTATGCTATAGAAATGAGTTTTAAAAACATTTTTCTTTTTAACTCAAGCCTAAACTTGCATCCATATGAGGAAAACCTTAATTGGTCTTGGCTCGTCTGAATGTCAGTCTACACCACATACAGTTGGTAAGAAAGAGGATTTATGACATCAGCCGCAGAGCAAGCCAGGAACTGTAGAGGATATTTCACTGTTACACAAATTCAAAGAAAATCAAAAGCATTACTGTGCTTAACTCTCTATGAAAAAAATACATAACAATGACCCTCCATAAAATCAGTTTTTGCAGTGTTTGCATGTATTTAAGCAAATTTTCATCAACAGCCAAGCCAAGAATTAGCTGTTTCCACTCCTACAACAATTTTGTGGCTGTAGTCAAATTTGTAGACTTGTGGTCCAACAAAAAAGTAGAGGAAATCTAAAAGAAACAGAAAAAAAACACATCCTCAGAACGCCGCGTTCAGACACTCAACCTTTTCAGATTTTGTCGTCTAGACTGGAGTAAGCATTTTCCTGATGGTGGTTACAATGAAGGATGTCTTTCAACCTTAAATGTCTACCTTTTCTCGCAGCTCAAATTATGCTATATCACATAAAGAATTGAGAGATGAAATTATAGAGTGTAAATCACACACTACAAATAAAGGTGCTGTAAAAACCTAACTCCATGTTCCAAGTGTCAGAGGTAAATTAACATTCCAGTGCTGCTTCTAATAGGAAAAAATATATACATTCATTTACATAAAAGTACCCAAGCATATAGAGACTTCTATAATGGCATATATTGCATTCGTTAGCATTTTCCCCGAGCATGAGTGCTTTAGTTAATAAGTACTCACCACCCTTGTAGAAAGCTGCATTTATTGTTGAGTTGACTCCAGGGAAGTCATTGATGATAGACCTTGGGAAGCCAAAATCCATCACCTTTCTGTTTTCATTGAAACTAAAAAACACAGAGCAAATGTAAAACCAAAATCACCAAAAAATTGTAAACAATATATATTTCTGCACCATCAAACCACATACACTCACCGGCCACTTTATTAGGTACCCCATGCTAGTAACGGGTTGGACCCCCTTTTGCCTTCAGAACTGCCTCAATTCTTAGTGGCATAGATTCAACAAGGTGCTGGAAGCTATCCTCAGGGAGTTTGGTCCATATTGACATGATGGCATCACACAGTTGCCGCAGATTTGTCGGCTGCACATCCATGATGCGAATCTCCCGTTCCACCACATCCCAAAGATGCTCTATTGGATTGAGTTATGGTGACTGTGGAGGCCATTTGAGTACAGTGAACTCATTGTCATGTTCAAGAAACCAGTCTGAGATGATTCCAGCTTTATGACATGGCGCATTATCCTGCTGAAAGTAGCCATCAGAAGTTGGGTACATTGTGGTCATAAAGGGATGGACATGGTCAGCAACAATACTCAGGTAGGCTGTGGCGTTGCAACGATGCTCAATTGGTACCAAGGGGCCCAAAGAGTGCCAAGAAAATATTCCCCACACCATGACACCACCACCACCAGCCTGAACCGTTGATACAAGGCAGGATGGATCCATGCTTTCATGTTGTAGACGCCAAATTCTGACCCTACCATCCGAATGTCGCAGCAGAAATCGAGACTCATCAGACCAGGCAATGTTTTTCCAATCTTCTATTGTCTAATTTCGATGAGCTTGTGCAAATTGTAGCCTCAGTTTCCTGTTCTTAGCTGAAAGGAGTGGCACCCGGTGTGGTCTTCTGCTGCTGTAGCCCATCTGCCTCAAAGTTCGACGTACTGTGCGTTCAGAGATGCTCTTCTGCCCACCTTGGTTGTAACGGGTGGTTATTTGAGTCACTGTTGCCCTTCTATCAGCTCGAACCAGTCTGGCCATTCTCCTCTGACCTCTGGCATCAACAAGGCATTTCCGCCCACAGAACTGCCGCTCACTGGATGTTTTTTCTTTTTCGGACCATTCTCTGTAAACCCTAGAGATGGTTGTGTGTGAAAATCCCAGTAGATCAGCAGTTTCTGAAATACTCAGACCAGCCCTTCTGGCACCAACAATCATGCCACGTTCAAAGTCACTCAAATCACCTTTCTTCCCCATACTGATGCTCGGTTTGAACTGCAGGAGATTGTCTTGACCATGTCTACATGCCTAAATGCACTGAGTTGCCGCCATGTGATTGGCTGCTCAGAAATTAAGTGTTAACGAGCAGTTTGACAGGTGTACCTAACAAAGTGGCCGGTGAGTGTATAAAGTAGTCATCCCATACAATGTGACTTAGCAAGTGCTGTTTAATTTAAACAGAATCTCTTATACACAATACATGTGTTTTATAGCTTTGCATCTCTGTGCTAATGGTTGCCTTGGTCTCATCCAACACTCATCTTTAGCTCAAAATCCTGAAGCGATGTGCATTGATGTGTAAATATGTTGGCAAAAAATGTAATAATGCCTTTAATAGCTGCCGGACTCAATTACATGTAGTGCTCGCTTACCTCCAGTAAATGTCATGCATAAAGAAGAGGGTACGTCCTGTTTTAGCAACGTGCACAGTTGCATCAACTTCTTGAACCCAAGATGGAAATCCAAAGAAGGAAAGTGATCTTGGCTTTCCTCTCACAATAGAACCTTTTACTCTCCAGAACATGGATTCTATCAACAGAAAAGAATAATCCATATATTTTAGATTTGTTGCATGAATTCAAGGCCTGTAGTCTTTATGCTTGGACTTGCATGGTCTCCCCCTGCATACATGGGTTCTTTTTAGGTATTCCAGCTTTCTACCACAGTCAAAAAACAAGTCAACTGGCATTTCTAAATTGTCCGTGTGAGTGTGTGCAAACTTGTAATTCTCTGTTTTGCCCTGCAACAGACTGGCGACCTCGCCAGGGTGAACCTCTCATTGCCCATAGTCTACTGAAGATAGACAACAGCCCCACTGTGACCCTGAGGGATGGGGTTGTCTTACATTTAAGTCAAGCAAAAGGTAATAATTTAATGTTTACTCTACAGTACAGTGGACGTAATAGTACATCATTACCAGAAATTAGGTAGGCAGTCGATCTGCGAGGTATCCAGAAGGCAGCATCGATACTGGTTTCAATCGTGGGCATGAAGTTGCTAATGGGACCTTCTTTTATGTCAGACTGCTCATTATGTTTAATCCAAAGATATCTAGTATGAAAAAAATAGGGATAAAACACACATTGCCAGTTAGCACAGCTTCAAGACATAGTTAACTAGAGATAGTCAACATCTGTGCACAAATTATTGGTAAGATTAATTTAAGATTAGAAGTATGAACATGCCTGTCTCTGAAAAAGAAGGTAGCATCTCCAAGGGTTGTCACAGCATCAAAAGTCAGGTCTTGTGAACATTTGTCCTGCATGAGTCTTGGGAACAGTGGCCTGAACAGCCAGTTTCTATGATTCCTGGGAGGACCTAACACACCAAGATATATTTGTAAGTATTTTAGAGTAAATTATATATTTGTTGATTCAATGTGTGAATGCAGATTTGAAAGCAGATATGAAAACCAAATTACTATAAAGGGCTTTGATATTGGCTACATCTTCTCTGGACAGCAAGTTTGTTGGGCGAACAGATTTGTAGGTTGGATACATGAGTGATTCAGGATTTCTGGAGTGTCTAAGCCCTAAAGCATGGCCAAATTCATGAGCTGCCACCAAAAGCAGATTAAAACCTGCAACAGAACCAAAAAATTCAGATTAATTTTACGCTTTGTGGTACTGTTCTGTTCAGCATTACTCGTGTGACTCAGTTCAGCACCTGTTCCTCCAGCTGTCCAGTGCTCATCATCATCAAAGTGTGTGTCGCCTCCAGCTCCCATCCCTGGGCCAAAGGCATGAGCCAGTGTGCCTCTGGGGCCGTCAAAGGGATAAAAGTCTCCATGTGCTTCAGAATATAATCCAGACCAAACATGAAACATAAACCACAGAGAAAGCCATTTTCAAAATTACAGGCTTCCATTTACCTCATCTGAATGAGTCCATGGAGTTGAGCAGTGTGCACATTAACACAGTCACCTGAAAAATTACACTACTACAGTTTTCCAAGTTGGTACCCACTATGTTCATAACTCTGCTGATTTTCTATTATCTAGAGTTACTTTTAATGTGATCCCAATGATGAACCTACCTTTGACCACAAACTCCACCATGATGTCAGCATTGCGTGTGTGTGTCCTGATAAACTTCAGACCGCTGGCTCTGGCCCAAACACCGAAAGCTGACTCTATCAGAGATTCCACGGTGCTGCGTCGCAAATCTCTGGTGTATCTTCCGATACTTGGAGAAACCAAAAACCAAAAAGTTATTCAAATCGGGGCAAAATCAGAATGAGATCTTTAATAACACTTTGTTTTTCTTTCAGATCACATTGTGTTACTCAACAAGTAGGCTGTGGCCATTTAGCAAAATCTTTCCTAAAGATTTTGGGAAAATCTTTAGCAAAATAGAGATGTAGGCCCATGTCTGTAAGCAAGCCAACAGTAAGCTATACATAGTTAGCACTTATGTTCGCACACTACCATTGTGTTTGTTTATAAAGTAAAATGTTCATAAGTTCTGCTTTCTTCAAGATGAAACATTTATTTTGTGTGTAATTAACTGGTTCTCATTTAAACACAGCTTGGAACTGAACAGACACAATGTTACATAAGTTCAAGTAAAACTTGTCATGTTGGCACTCCATCAAACCCACAAGACTTCTCAGAGTCATGAATCCAAAGCTAAGAAATGCTATAATGATTTGTGACAGCTGCTTCTGCCTATTTTTTCCAAATGTTTTATTGCCAGTTGGCCTTTAAGCTTTGGTTTGGGTTGGCTATTTGGAGCAACTAGATTGATGTATTTCTTGATGTGAGAAACTTTGAAAGGTGAAAAAGTAAACTCAGCTAAGCCATGCTCAGTACCTGTATGTGATGACGTTCTTGTTCCAGCGTGCCCCCTGGATATGACTGTACTCCTCCACATCTGGAACGCCACACCGGGGGCTCTGCATCACCTCAAGGGTCTCCAAGTCTAACACCCCAGTCGAATTGAGCCCAAGAAACATTTGCATTTCTTTGACTTTGGAAATAAAGGAGGGCTCACTTCTCTTTATGCGCAAAAAATTATCTTTTTGGAGTTTGTAGAACTGATGGAGGTAGTCCTGTGAACAGATTTACCAGATGCATTTTATAACAGTGAGGATAGATAAATGGATCAGTTGGAACAGTTAGCACCGATTTAATGACAGAAAAAATATATAATTCAGGATACAATGGGGTTTAATAAGTAATAAACATTTTTACTCAAATTTCTTATCTTTTAACGCACTCAAATAACTGCCCGTTGTTATATGCTCTCGATTTATAATCTAGGTTGTAGTATCAAGTTAGAGAAACACCAAGGTGCTCTGCTGCAGAGGGAGAAACTCATAAAGATTTTCTGAATTTTGCATCAGTTCATGAGAGAATGACATTTTGATAATTAAAGATCAGTTTCTTTGTATTAATTAACAGATAATTCAACAATATTTCTTTTTGTGATGAGCACCAGTTATTTAAGGATAAAAGGTGTCATTGCAATCACCTTAAGTATTTAAATTTGGCTTGGGACCTCCAAAATGTTTGGATTATCTAATTTTATAGGAAAATTGTTGGCAAAATTAAAACACCAATTAAAAAAAAGACTGACTGAGAGGTCTTGGTTTAGCCATATAAAGTATACAAGGTTTTAAAAACAATGCTGTATATATTCAGAAGTGATATTGGACATTAAATTGCTGCAAATTCCAATGTTTATAAGCATTCATGTTCTACTTCCAACTATTATGCAGAATGTACCATTATATAGTGAGTATGAATATTGTTAACCAAACTCAATATTAAACATTATGATAATTTGATCCTTTTCTTTGTACTTCAACACTTTTGGAAACACAATAAATGTTTTAACATAACTGCTATCACAGTTTAAATATGTTCTTATCATTAAAATTTCTCAAAGCCTCGGAGATCATCATAAATTTTTTTTAAATATGCTTGGGGTATGAAAAGCTATCTTAATCTGATGGATTAAACCCATAACCCAATTTGGTATCTGAATCTAGCCCTTAATTGAGGGATTGAATTGTCCTTATTTCACACAGAACTGGATTACCATAAAATAACAAATAACATGTATTTTGTGTTGTGGGTTTTATGTAAGTATTTTAACCCAGCATAAGGAAGAAATAAAAATGAGAGAAAAAAAGATATAATAAATATTAATAAACTAAATTCTGGCAACATAGACTCTGACCGCAGAACAGTTACAACCTGATACACAATCAAACAAAATCTAATGTTGGCATGCAGATTTTACACCAAGTATAATTACGTTTCTGCTCTAAAACCTCTAAGGTAAAGTTCATAAATTGCAGTCAATAGAGTGATGTACTTACTGTGGCCAGCTTCAAGTCCAACTGTGCTTCTGGTGAAGGAGTGCTCATTTCCTCTGGCATAAATGTAGGTGCTGTTAAACCTGGATTGGTCACAAGCAAGACCAGGACAAAGCAGGAGAGCAGCATGACAAACATCTCACAGATCTAGCACCGTATGAAGATCAGTGATCCACAATGGAGATAGAAGTTCCTGTTAATGAGAACGCCTTTTAAATACCTATTGTGAGTCATACAGCTTGCAAATCCAAGGAAAGCCTCATTTAGTTCAATGCAATTAGGGAGGGGTTTGCAAAGAGCAAGTGCAGGGGACAGAAAAAAAAAAGACAGGGAAAAAAAAGGCATTGGACACTTTTTATGCAACCTTATTATTTATATAATTGCAGCTTTTGCTTCACATTCTGTGAGTTCTGTGTTTTAGGTAAATATTTTAGAAAGGGAAAATATTTATATGATCATTGCAGAACACAACTCATGTATTTTAACAACCATTGGTGATGAAATTACAGATCTAGAGAATAAAATGTTCAAGGCAAAAAAATGTCATCATCCGCATATAAAAGAAAGCTTTGATTTTAAATCTGTGATTTCCTCAACAGAGCCTCTGTGAAGGGAATTCAGCAATTTTTTTTTTTTTACACTGATGCAACACCTGTAGGGCACTTCTCAGTCCCACGCATTCTGCAAGCTCTCCTAAAATAACCCTTTAAAAGCCTATTCTTGTTACAGTTTAAGTACATATAAGAACATTTCAATGAGAGCTTGCAGAAAGGCAGCTGAAATTGTAGAGGTAAACTTAGGGCTTTTACAGAAAAAAAATGGCCACCAGTCATGTCACCCAGACTGGAAAGGGTGGTGCTGCGGCGAATTCGAGCTACAATTAAGGTTGATTGGTCATTGTGGAGTTTTATCGGTCTGAGGGCATTCATCTGAAGGAAACCCTCAGCTGACATTTCCAAGACTCCATAAATTTGAGCAGCTTTGCTTTAAGGGCCTGAGCACAGACAAGATTATGAAGTGGATTTAAGCAGGGCTGTTGGCTGAGAGTACAGCATGGAACTGCCAAGTTACAACAGGGGAGAGACCTTTTGGAACATTTGGGTAATTACACCCTGAGAATGCATCGATGGTAAGCAACAGAGAAAAAAAAAACAGATGCTCAGGATAACATTTTCTGCACTTTCTGACTGAGGCAGCAAGTGCAATATTTTTGGAATTCGGTATAATTTCACAACAGCTTAGCAACATGTAACAAGAGGTTACTGTTTGAAGTACTTCAACTGAACTCATATTTTGTGCAAAACCAGATAAATTGAATAAGAGGACAAAAGGTTGGTTGACCTTCCACAATGTCAATTCCACATTTATAAAGCCAAAGTAGATCCGCACTGGTGAGATACTTTATCCTGCAGTTATTTTGTGAGTTTGTGATCCTTGAAGAAATGCAAAGAGATAAAGCATCAAACATTTTAAAAACTCAATAGATTTGCATATCACTGAAAGATATACCATAGATCTGAGCCCAAGAAAACATTACTGGAATAACTTTTATTGATCTAACAAACGAAAAATGTATTTCTGCATTTAACCCATCCTCTTGGGGATGCAGTAGGCTGCCATTGTGTGGCAATCAACTGGGTAATTCAAGTTCCTGGTAAGTGGTAGGTAAAACCAGTGGGCTGGGTTGCCCTATTGTGGTATGTGGAACAGATCTCTAATGGTCAGAGGTGGGTAGAGTACCCAAAAATTGTACCCAGATAAGAGTAGCTCTACTTTAACATTGTTTTACTCAAGTAAAAGTAAAAAGTTGTCATCCAAACAAATTACTCAAGTTAGAGTAAAAAAGTGTTTGGTAAAAAGGCTACTTGAGCACTGAGTAATTGTTGGATAATAACTTCAGGTTTAATGTTTATAAATGATCTGGACTTAAAACCAGAGGGAAGACTGTAGATTTCAAGGTTTTTCAAGAAGGACATACAGTAGCAGCTATTCAAATGGGCCCTTTCCATTCAAAGGCCAGCCGAATGGCAGCCCATTTCCCTCCAACCCCCAGCAAAATCCCCTCCAACCTCCAGCCACTAGAGTGACCCCTCTTGCATATTTTTTACCCTGACTCCACCCTTTTACTGAATTACAGGGTCTGACCAGGAGGTGACGCTTTTCCTTAGATCTTAATGTCGACAAATTATGACAGAAAGAATATTTTAGTACAAATATTGATGTTTAAAAAAGGAATTTTAGGGGACCAGCCAAAGACCAGCCAAGGGCCCATCAAGGAAAGTGGGAAAATTTTGAATGGCTGCTACTGTAATACATAGGCAAGGAGCATATGTGTTGGATTGTACCCGTGAGTATTTATGATTGTGATTAAGCACAAGGTTGGGTTTTCTAAATATCGGCGCCAAATTAAGCCGCAACTCAGTTTCATGAAAGCAGTAACACATTAGTTACCATGCATTCGAGTTTCAGGCTCAAGCACCTGTTTTTATATATTCCTATTAATTGAATTGAAGTTGAAAAACAAACATAAAAAGGAAATAAACTTTTTACTTTTCACCTCTGCAAATGTCTTGAGAAAAGCTAGAGTATGCTTGGAGTTGTTCTGATGGAAAGCTGAGGACCAGTTCAGGTGGATAAGCAAGTTATCCCTTCTCTAGAAATTGATAAATACATTTTTAATAAAAAGCATGGGAACTAATGTAGGTGCAAAGATGTGTTCATAAAACATAACTCCTTATTATTTTTATTACTTGAGTGATTCAGGGACACATGTTTTCACTCCATGTATTTAACCTACTATTGCAGATTTAAACTTGATTATGTCTCCTCTTAGTGGTTACATATGGTACTGAAAACTTAGTACATTTAGTAGAATAGAATAGAATAGAGTAGAATAGAAATAACCTTCAGTGTCCTTTATTGGGAAACTAAACTGAACTAAGAGCAACACGATATATGTATTTACATAAATATACACAGATAGATAGATAGATAGATAGATAGATAGATAGATAGATAGATAGATAGACAGACAGACAGACAGACAGACAGACAGACAGACAGACAGACAGACAGACAGACAGACAGACAGACAGACAGACAGACAGACAGACAGACAGACAGACAGACAGACAGACATAGTACAAAGGAAATTTGACATTTTAACAGCTGTGGTCATAAAGATGCTGGAAAAAAGGATTTGCAATAATGCTCTTTCGTGCACCTACAGTAGGATCCAACAGTCCATTACTGAGTAAGCTTTGATGCTATTTTTGCTAGAAACATAAAATCTGCACAGGTCAAGGGGACATCCTCGGATAACCTGGCCTTTCTAATTAGCTTAATTAACCCTTTCCTTTAAGCTGTAGTGAAGCTGCTGCTCATCAAACTACATCTTAAACCAACTGTCCTATTTGAAAGCTTTACATTGCTACCCATATTTCAGATAATGTTATCAATATAAAGCAACATAGACAGTATTTTGTATTAAAGCTTAGTATTGCAATTCAAGCAAATATGATGATGGGCGGTCAGCTTGGTCCTCTACATTTGTCTGTATGTTAGTATGCAAACACAGAGAGGAGAGTTAATTCATGTACAGCTCAAGTTAAAGAGTCTAGCTCTTGTCTGGAGTCTCTGCTCACCCCCCACCCCATCATTTGACCTGCAACTATGACTTCACATCTCTGCAGCTTCTCTGGATTTGGGCCTCGATTAGTTTAAATAACTTATTTGCTACGTTTTTCTAGGAAGAGACTTACTGCTGACACAACTTGGGTTTTAAATGTAGTATTAAAGTTCGCCTTTCAAACATTGTTGTGTAAAGTGTTTGAACCCACCAATCAGAAGCTTTTGCTGCACCTGCATTAATGATGTCAAATCCAGTACAACTCACAGTTGCTCACATCTGTGAGCAACTGTGAGATTAAAGTCCAATGACTCTTCTAACTTGTGAGGATTCTGCTGTTTAGCCATAGTTTGCTGGGGGGAAACACACTATGTGCCTCTTTTCATTCAACAAAATGTAAATTTGTTTATTATGCTTTCATGTGATGACTAAAAATTTAATATGCATTGAAGCAACAGATTCCACACTCGATTAATTTCAGGACGAGGAATTCTTGCGTAGGATTTTACAGGTTTTGTTAGACGCATGGAGTCTGAAAGAAGGTTGCATTTTTATTATTTGTCTTTTAGGCACTAAACAACAACAAAAAATAACTAGTCAATATAAAGGATAGCAATCCATGGTTTTCCCTGAGCTGCAAAACATTACACAAATGTTTTCTATTTCATCCCATGCTGAGTCCACACTTCGCAGGACCATCTTTTGTTGCTATTACAGATCGAGATCTTGTGTTCCTTTGGTTTAGCAGATCTAGAGTGTAACAATTTTGCCAAATCATCTTTTCAATACAGCTTAAGCTCAGTCAAATTTAAGTTTTAAAATCTTGGCAGGATTCTCAGTCAGACTTAGATCTGGACTTTAGGTCCATATATTACCTAAATATGCTCCCACCTCTCATTTATGCTCTAATATAATGTATTCGAATTTGTTGCAATGTGATAACATGTGGAACATTTCAAGAGAAATGAATCAAGGTATGAATATGATTTGCTTGTTGACAGTTTTCAAAATAACAGTAAAAATCCCCCCCGAGTGTAACTTCCCCTTGCATGAATCAGACACACTCCGTCAACCACCACCTAAACACTGAAGTTGCTCCAAAAATATTTGTCTGCACAGGATGTTGAAACTGTGGTCACATTTTTATACATGCATCACATTACTATTAGAATCCATGTTAGGAAGACATTTGTTAACCACCAGGGTTGGTTTTCTGTCTCTATACTTTTACAGCGCAGACTCATTATCTGCCTTACTTTAATTTACTATCTGATCATAATGCCTTTTAATGCAGTTCAATACTACTTGATTATTATTTTTGTCAGATAAGCAATTGGTTGAGTTGAAAAAGATTTATTCATGATATTCATTGTAACCAAATAAAGGCGCCTGCTGCATTGTTCGTAAATACAGATTAGAGGTAAGGAAATCTCAGTGCATTGTAAAACCAGGGCTAATTAGGTCCATCTGTATTCTTGGATACAACCATCAATAATGAAATGTTTTTAGATAAACTGTCTCCCTGCCCTTTGTTGCTCTACAGAAATGTAGGTTACACCAGCAGTAGATTAAGATCTAAATAAAATTGCTGTATTGATTTTCTGAACTTGCTTTTAGCCTGTGTAAAACCAATCGGCTATTAGTGGCAGTGGGATTAGATCGCTCGTGTTAAAATTGCCTCGCCTCTTATTGGCATGCTGTGGGAACAGTAGAACCGGGTTGACCCGGTAATTTACATGATACCATTGAGTGCAATGTACGGACGTCAACACAGTGCGCCAGCCGCATCTGATCTAATAAGCCGAAACAACTCTGTTTATATTTGATATATATATGGAGCAGCTGTGGTGATAGAGATTCAGACAGATAAGGGAGCGAAACAATACAGCGCACTTACTACACCCTGGGTTCCTTACATGTTGCTTTCCATTTTTTACTTTCCTGATTTCTGTCGCACTGCTGACATCATCAACGCTAACCCAGCATGATGGTTTCACCAGACACGCAGCAGTCAGGCCAGGCAGCTTGCCAGTTAGGGTTTAGAACAAGCTTTTTTTGCCAATGGGAAGGGAGCCAAATGCCGATTGTCAGCGGGTCAACCCATGTTTGAAGAACACACTTTAATCCGGGATTTTCAGAGGGAAAAGGCTTAAGGGTACAGTTTTTGCATTTGGGGGTCAGGTGCAATGTTTCACAGCAAAATGTTTGCAGTCACTGTGGCCACAAAGTAGGCATTGGTATCTTAGCAATAGAGGCAAAGGTCATTTGAACATATCTGGACTGTAACAAATAACAATAGAAGAATTGTAATAATGATGAAAAAGGCATCTGATCAAGAAACATAAATGCAGCCAAAAACAAACTTTAGTTCATTATAATAATAGCAATGATAATTATAATATAAAACATCAATAGTATTATTGCATTTTACTTATGAAGGGCTTTGCATTTGTCAAAACAGATCCCAAAGTGCTACAAAAGAAAAGTTAAAACAGATACAGTGTCAGCACATACAGTGTCAAATAAGAAAAAATTCAACGTAATACATGAAGTGGAACAACAGTAAAATAAATGAAAATCCTGATGAAACATTGGTAAGCTTTTAAAACAAAAATAGTGTTTTTAAAAGATTCAACAGATTGGGAAGCTCTTAGGCAGCTAGGGCACTCCACATCTAAGGAGCTGCAGCCTCAAATGCTCTGTCTCCCATTGTCCTCAGCTTTGTTTGCCATGAACAGATTGAAATGTGAGGACACAGATCTTATATTCAATTTTCATATTAACTGGAGCCAACGACAAGAGTGAAGAATAGTCATATATGATCAAACTTGTGTCTCTTGTCAGAATCCTGGTAGTGCTGTTCTGGATAGTCTGGAGCTTCTGGAGGCTCCTGGGATCCAGGGATCCTGACAAGGAGCTTATTACAGCCTGGATGAGAGAAAGGCGCTCACCAGTTTTTCAGCATCAGCCAGTGAGAGGGAGGAAGGAAGTTGGGCTTTATTCCTTAGATGAAACAAAGGATGCCTTAGATAGTTGTTGGATGTGTTTAAATTTAAGCACATAAACCGAAACAAAAAATTATTAATAATAATGACACCTTCACTGAAGCACATTTAAAAAACAAGCAAACTTCAACATTAAAGCAACCATTACGGAGCCTTCTTAGAGGTTTCCCTGCGCATGCCTGAAAGTGCTAATCCTTAAATTATGAAAGAGGAGACATTTTTTTATCTTTCAATGAAGCTCATCCATGTTTTATGAAATAATTACGGGTCTACATTGGTTTACATTATTTTAGGGTAGGTGGATTTTCTGAGGAGATGGAGGTAACCACTTAATCAAACCTTTTCTAGCATTCCGAACTACAAAATGAGTGACAAAGTGTGTATGAATCGCTTTGATATTGGATCAGATTTTACATTGTTTAAGCTTAAAGGTCCAACTTTATAGTATTGGAAATGCATCAGGAAACTCTTAGGTGACAGTAGTCCTAACCATAATTCCGTTACTTAGAATTTCTGTTAACAAAATTAAGTCAATGTGCCCCAGAGGAGCGCTTTGTCTTTAAGTCTGTGCAGTCTATCACTTGAGTAGCATTGAGAAATCCTGTATCAAGTGAAAAAAATTGTCAAAATCCATGTCATGGGTTTCTAAAGCCAAATACAAAATACAAACTGATCAAATTTAGAATTTAATTCAACTTTATTGCCATTACACTGTCACAAGTACAGAGCAATTAAATTAATTCTCTGCATTTAACCCATCCCCTTGGAGATCATTGGGCTGCCATTGTGCGGCGTCCGGGGAGCAGTGTGGGATTAAGGGTCTTGCTCAGGGAGCCAGAGTGGCAGTCTGTGGGAGTGAGGGATCGAACTCACAACCTCACAACCCCTCTCACTGCCTAAAGGAACCACCAGAGTACCACTAGAAAGCAATTTAAATCTAACACAGATCATCTGTGTAAAATCAAGTAAATGCTCTGTTCAATTCAATTTCAATTCAGTTTATTTCTATAGCGCCAAATTCACAACAAATGTCATCTCAAGGCACTTTACAGTTCAACCAGATCATACAGTCAAATTGATACAAAGTTTTCTATCTAAGGAAAACCAGTTGATTGCATTGACTCATTGACTCAAATACAATCTCTCACACTAAGCATGCTTGTAGCGACAGTGGAGAGGAAAAACTCCCTCCAGCAGAACCAGGCTCAGTGTGAGCGGCCATCTGCTGAGGCTGACTGGGGTTGAGTATCCCTGTTCAGTACAGGGATACATTCTGTACATCTCCACAAAAAATGGTACAGCTTAATTCAGGCCCATCCTGAAATGCTCTCTAATATCTGAAAGACATTTTCAATTTAGGTCCTTATTCATGCTATTTGAAAGTAGGGGCACCACTGTAAACAAAGATACATGTTGGTAGCTACTGCACTTTGACAGCCTAATTTTATGGACAACACCTTCACTTCTTATCAGCCACATCTCTGCTTTACACATTCAATAGTTTGTTAGGGTCGTTTCTTTCAAACATAGAATAACAGCAGTTTATTGTTCTATGTTTGAAAGAAAAGAAATCTTAAAGTCTCAGAAATATAAATTCCCAGCTGGCTGGGAATTAAATATAACAGTTATTCACAACATAAATATGGCATCCAACCTGGATTGGCATTGAATATAAATCCACAGCAGCAGTCATCAAAAATTCCATCAAACAGTAACAAGGCCTAATGGTTAATCAATATTGGTATAGTCTACTTGGTATTAGGACAGTCCCTAAGGAACTTACAAGGTGGTTGGATGCAAAACAGCTTCTCCTCTATGTTGAAATGCCAATGGGGAGTCATAAGTAGGGGCACATATATTTATTTCGGGAAGCTGAGTTTCTTTATATTGCATAATTCATACACAAGGCAACTCAGGGAAAACAGGTTTTACCAGTGACTTACTGTAAACACAGAAAAAAGTTGTGATTAAAGCTGTTGATGTGGGCCTGCATAATTCTGAGACTGTAGAAGGGAATACTGATGAAAAGGAGAGTGTCCTGGGTTTTCCCAGGTCTTAGTGATTCATCGGAGGAGACGGCTTGAGCAGATCTGCACTGGGTGTTGGAGTGGGGGGCTAATAATCCTCTAATCAGTCTTAATTATCTGCTGATATTTTTCTTCTCTGATGTTGAGATGAACAAAGTACACTGCTGTATTGTATTCCAATTGTATGGGATGGCTTTCATATTCTAGTTTAAAAAAATAAAATAAATAGAGCTGAGCCCACAGGTTTTCATCTCATGTTTTCCAGTCAGAGTAAGATCCGCTATGAGTTCCTCAGCTCTTATTTTTATAATTCAGGTATTTCTGATTGCAAAGATATTAAACACCTACATCAGGAAACACTGCTTTTAACTATTTCCCAAAAAAGCCCATGTATGACATGTATTAACATGTCTTACATGTAATTGTCCTCCAGTGAAAGTCACTCAACAGGATGTCAAACTCTTAAAAATAAATGGGTGGGTGTTGTTTATGTGATACTATCTTTATCTTGTATTTCTTACCAATATCTTATAAAGTTTGAACAGCCAACACAATTAATGGAAAGTACAGATGGAGAAGCAGGATTTAGCTCCTATGCTTCTCTAATTTGGAAAGAAAATCTCAGGAAACTGCAAAAATGCTGCAACCCAGAGTTTTTTTAAATAATGATTATTACCCCACTTATTCAGAGCTGCATTTGATTGTTCTATTTAAACTGGAAAAAATATATAAATTTCAGTTTGTGTTTAAACCTGTCTTTACTGTCTTGTATACCATTGAAATGCATTTTTCTTTTGCCTTTTTAATCATTCAAAGCACTGTATATTATCTATTCAAAATGTGCTATTCAAACAAACTTGTCCTTCTTTAACCTGTAATAGGCAAAAAATAAATCAATAAATAAAGTACTTATCATAAGACTCACAGCAGCAAGACCAAATTCCTTTTTTTAATGTAAGAATAGGGAATTATCCCAGGATAGTAACAAAAGGAATGGTTAGATATTTTTATGAAATAAAAAATCTGTTTCTAAGCAACCTAAATCGGAACAATCTGTTAAGTAGGTCATGTTTTACCAAAATGTGTCTGTGTTAGTCTGAAGCAGTTTATTCAATCCAAAATCCCTGAAGATTTGTAGATACATGCACATTCCTGTATGAGCAAAACAGGAAGTGGCTAGGTACTTTTTATATGAATCACATGGAGGGGAAAAGCTGACCAGCACACCTTAAATACTCCACAGAGCGCTGGGATGCCAGTAGTCTCTTTGGACATCTCAGAGTCAACAACAATGTTTGCTTTGCTGCTGCTGATCGTGCTGGCTTCTTACTCCTCTGCTCTGCCTCTGCAGACTGGAAAGACTGATGATATGCTTTTTGCTGAGGTGAGAATCACATCAACTTTTTACAATGGATGCTTTCTTTGGTGTGTTTTAGTAGCTTGTCATAAAATGTGTGTCTTTCAAACAGAAATACCTTCGTCAGCTCTATCGTCTGCCAGCTGGTCTTCAAGGTACACAGACATCATCAAGCGATTTTCAGAACAAGATCAGGCAAATGCAAAGATTTTTTAAACTTGAGGTAAGCCTGAAGCTGCCTTTGCTTTTGGTGATTCTTTTATTTGATCCATCTCCTTGTTAAGAGATGCTTGAATAAGTGGCCCTGTACATAAAGAAGATGCACTGAGCCTTTCAAAGTCTTTAGTCTCATTTAAAGAAAAACATATTGACATTAAAAAGAAAAAAAGATTTAGTATAATTTTGTTCTTTGAAACATTGACTCACTTCTTTTTTTTTTTTGGAAGGTAACTGGAAACCTTGATAAAAACACTCTGGAGGTGATGAAGCAGCCCAGATGTGGTGTACCAGATGTTGGGGAGTACAACCACTTCCCTCGACATCTCAAATGGGCAAGCAACAATGTCACTTTTAGGTAGGGAAGAGTAAATTACCTCCTAACTCTGATTCCACTGACTATGGTGTTTTGAGTGAAGCTTTAATTTCATCTGTTGTACTTCTCTCGTTCCCCTCTCTGTTTCAGGATAGTGAATTACACTCCTGATTTAAAGAGAACGGATGTAGACAGAGCCATCAGAAATGCCCTGAATGTTTGGGCTGATGTTACCCCTTTGACCTTTAAGAAGCTTCACGAGGGCAATGCAGACATTATGATCAGCTTTGGATCAAGAGGTGATAAGACTTTTTGTTTTTCTTTGTGTCTAAGTCATCACAACAGAGATTTTTAAAGTGGAAATTTTTAATGCATAGCTATTTACCTTTCATTCTGAAGAGCATGGTGACTACAATCCATTTGATGGGCCTGACGGACTGCTGGCTCACGCCTACCCTCCAGGCCAGGGCATTGGGGGAGACACTCACTTTGATGAAGACGAACACTGGACCAAAGATTCATCAGGTGACAATTTTTTTGGACAGATAGAAAGAATCCTAGCTATTATTTCAGTTGTGGCTTTAATTCTACACCTTTTTCCTGCAGCTTACAACTTGTTTATTGTAGCTGCCCATGAGCTGGGTCATGCACTTGGTATGTCCCATTCATCAGACCCAGGTGCCCTCATGTACCCAGTCTACTCATTTAGCACTGGCTACCCATTGGCTGAAGATGACATTGAAGGAATTCAAGCTCTCTATGGTGGGTATTGCAAACTTTGGTTAGAAATTGTAATGTGCAGGACCAAGTTGGATAACAATTGTCTGGTAATGTTAAAACTTTGATTGCAGGTCCCAACCCCAACCCGAAAAAAAGGAAAGCAAAGCCTGATGCACCTACCAAATGTGACCCTGAATTGAGTTTTGATGCTGTAACAGAGCTACGAGGAGAAACCATTGTTTTTAAAGACAGGTAAAATAATAGACTTCTGTATCTTCTGTAATGCTCTGTTCTTAGCATTTTATTTGGCTTTTCTGAAAGCATTGAGAACGCACTGTAAATTGAGGTCAACCTGCCCCTGAGGCACAGAGCATGTAGTCACTGCCCTGTTGAATAAAGGTTCAAGCCTGACCTAAAGCATATTGGAAAATCCTCCAATTTTATTTTCAATGCTGGGTCTTTTTGCAGGTTCTATTGGCGTCTACATCCCAATATGGCAGAGCCTGACCAGACACTAATCAAGTCCACATGGCCCTACCTCCCAAACAAAGTGGATGCAGCTTATGAATATCCAGAGAAGGATTTAGTTTTTGTGTTTAGTGGTAAGTTAAATGTATATTTCTATCTAAAAAAATACCACATGCATTATGAGTAGCACCTACACCAGGTCTGCCCAAAGTCAGTCCTTGAGGACCGCTGCTGTTCTGCAGGCTTTAGAGGTTTCCCTGCTGCAGCCCAGCTAATTCTGATGATTGCAGTTCAGCAGAAGCTTGTCAATAAGCTGTTAATGGAAATCAACTGTGCTAAAGCAGAGAAATCTCTAAATCCTGCAGCATATGCCCCTGACCTAGACTCTGTCTTGTGTTTAAACAGGAATCCGAGTGTGGGCCTTAAATGGATATACACTTGTGGACGGCTACCCAAAGTACATACACAAACTTGGTCTTCCTAGATCTGTTAGAAAGATAGATGCAGCTGTGCATATCAAAGAAACAGGGAAAACACTGCTATTCACCGAAGAAGAATACTGGAGGTAAAGTGGTGTGCATTTTACACAAAAAGACATCTTTATTTGGGAAGAATGAACTTTTTGGCATTCATAGCTCACTCTCTGGGACTTTCTTCATATTCTGTGTTTCATGTCCCTGTTCTGTGTAACCCACAGTTATGATGAAGAAAAGGGCACCATGGATGCTGGCTTTCCCCGATCTACTGAGGATGACTTCCCAGGAATGCATGATGAGTTTGATGCAGTTACTTTTAACCACGGTAAAATGAAAAACTAAGTATATTTAAACAGACAGTGTGCAATTTCTCATTGAAGCAATAAAATATGGTATTCAGGAAGTTTAATTCAAAGCACAGGCTCCCAAACCATTTGCTTCGTTGGCATAAAATAATCAAGGCAATGATCTATTCTAAAATATCAGAGAAGGGAAAAAAACCCTATGACTAGAAATGGCATCCAAATATAGACTAATTCGATTTAGGCATCATTGTTGGGTCTTGGGGTCCCTTTTTATAACCATTAATGTAAAACAACATTACATACAAATTATTTTCAAAATATTCTTAAATATGTCCTTTAGCCTGTATAAACTAATCTCTTCCTCTTTATCCATGCATTTCTTTGCTTTTTAGATAACCCAGAATTTGTACTATATGCAAACTACATCCTTGTTCATTGTTTTTTAATTAGAAAAAAGTTTTCAAATTGCAGCAGTTTGCAAGTCCACCACTAGATGTCGCACAATACCACACAATGCTCCTTTACATTAACCACTGTAATTGTTTGGAATTGCTATTTCCCCTGTACTACCCCTAATATTTTTCTCTTTTTTTAATGCAGGCCGCCTCTATTTCTTCCATGAATCTTTGCAGTATGAGTACAGTTACAACTACAGGAAGGTCATTCGCATTATGAGGACCAACTCCTTCCTGAACTGCTCATGAGACTGCAACCATCATTTAGAATTGTTATGTGTGAATATAGCTGGCTATATCTGAACAGATGATAAACTGTTGTGAAGAGACATTGCACAGTATAGTGTGGAAGATAAATGGATGAGATTGTAAGGAACTGTCGGGACGGTTGTCTGTGTTTGACACAGAATCCTATGATTCTCTGGAATTTCATGAACTATTTATTTTTGGATGTGTTGCTTATTTATAGGTTTTGAAGCAGATATTCATTATTATCTGATAAAATTGCATTTTATGGTTGACTGAATTCCAAAGTTTACATTGATTCACACCAGTTCCAAATAAAGTCTCTTATTCAATGCTGAATACCTTAACATTGCGTCTGAATCTTACTTCTTCAGTATATCCTTTATGAGGATGAGTGGGTAAAGGAACCAGCACACTGTCTGCATGTGGTCACACTCTGGCCATGCTAAAAAATTGGTAAGATTTAAAAAAAAAATAAGATTTTAGTGGTAGTTATCTTTTTCATAAGGCATTAACTACGTCTTGGAGCATCAAAAAATATGAAAAATAATGCTTTACAGGGAGATGCATTAGCTCTGTATAGGGAATAAGAAAACTAGTTAGAAAATTGGGCTGAGCAAGGACCATAACCCAACGTTCTCCGTGGGACCACTCCTGCTAAAAAGTGTGTAAAACACAGAGGACAAATTTCTCTACCTGTTACTATAAAGGGATACATTTACTCTTTTGGACATCAAATGACATCAAATTAAAATACGTCCGTTCTTTGCAAACTAGTTTAACCTCAATCAAATCGGATGAATCATCTGTGAAAAGCATTTTTCCTATTTTTATTTATAGAGTTTTAAACTCTTCACACTCACCTTTTTATAGTTGTATCAATTGGAAATAAACACAAGTGAGTGCCAGTGCCCAGGTGGGTTCCAAGATGTTAAATGGATTTAGGTCTGGACTTTGATTAGGCCACACACATGAAAATGGTTTGATCTAAATGGATTTAGCTGCATTTGTAGAGCCTCTGTCCCCTGAAAGACCTTAAAGGAATAGTACACCCAAAACATGATTAGCCTTCATTTTCTACTCACCCCCATGCTGAACAACACTCTGGAGTACTTTTTTGATATCTCAAATGCATCTGGAGATCTGGGAGGTTTCTTGCTGTCTGCTGACATTCAAATAATGGAGGTCTATGGTGCCCGAGACAGAAAGGTCCATAAAAGTCCACAAAAAACGTGTCAATATTCCTCCATACTGCTCGTCCAATGTATTCCAAGTGTCCTGAGTGGGTAGCATCCAGAATTTACTCGAAACGAAGTCATTTAGAATGTTTTTAGAGCATAAACAGTAGTGTATAAGATTTCCTGAAAGCGCGCACCTGCGCGTTCACAACGCTACGGAAGCCGGCAGACCAAACCAGATGAAAGTGCGCATTCAGCGTCTGCTCTGCCGATAATGCAAGCGTAGAAGAAGAAATGTGCCGTTTACCTGTGCAAAGAAAGAAACAACGAAAGAAAAATGTCTGAGGACTTCAGTGTTGAGGAAGAGCAGGAGTTCTTTGTCGAGCTGAATGCACACTTTCATCTGGTTTGGTCTGCCGCGGTTTCCGTAGCGTCGTGAGCTCGCAGGCGCGCCCTTTTAGGAAATCCTATACACTACTGTTTATGCTCTAAAAACATTCTAAATGACTTCGTTTCGCGTAAATTCTGGATGCTACCCACTCAGGACACTTGGAATACATTGGACGAGCAGTATGGAGGAATATTGACACGTTTTTTGTGGACTTTTATGGACCTTTCTGTCTCGAACACCATAGACCTCCATTATTTGAATGTCAGCAGACAGCAAGAAGCCTCCAAGATCTCCAGATGCATTTGAGATATCAAAAAAGTACTGCAGAGTGTTGTTCAGCATGGGGGTGAGTAGAAAATGAAGGCTAATCATGTTTTGGGTGTACTTTTCCTTTAAGTCTTTTACTATACCATAGTTCAAGAAAAACATTCTGTGATCTGAGCTGTAGATTTTTTTTTTTTTTTTTAGCTAATCTTGAGTAACCCGCATCCTCATGGTTACTTTACCTTTTCCACCCTAGAAGGTAAGGTAAGCAAAAATGCTTTGGTAGATTTGCTATATACCTTATTCTTTCCTTTTTCTGGATTCTACAGAGCTCCCTGAGTTGTTCAAAGCTTGGGATATCAATTTAAAATATAACCCTGCTCCAAACTTATTTACAATGTTATCCCTGTATCATCTGTAGTGTTCCTTGTATCTCATGATTGTGTTTGCTCACTAATGTTCTCTAGTAAACCACTGAGGCCTTCAAAGAACAACCTGAACACGTAAAGAGATTAAATTAAACACAAATTGGCTTTGCAAACTAATAAAATGTCTTTTGTAAGCAGCTGGTTGCATTATTTCTTATTTAGGAGTATTATAATTAAGAAGTCTGAATACAAAATCACCTGAATTTTTTTTTGCTAAACAAATTATATATCATAAGCCATACATCAAAATATTTTGACTTCAATGCAAACAAGTGTCAGTCTGTCACAAAAAAATCTTGCCCCCGCCCATCCTCACCACCTTCTACAGAAGCACCATACAGAACATCCTGACCAGCTGTCTCACTGTGTGGTGTGGAAGCTGCAACACCGTAGATTGGATGAAAGTGAGAAGAGTTGTGAGAGCAGCAGAGAAGACCATTGGAGCTCCTCTCCCCTCTGTAAAAAGGTTTTCACCCCAGCGCTGCATGTCCTGAGCCCATAACATCATCAATGACCCCTCACACCCCCACAGTGGACTGTTCTCTCTGCTGCCCTCTGAGAAGAGGCTTCGCAGCATTCACTGCTGGACCAACAAGTTCTGCAAGAGCTTTTTCCTGCTGCCATAAGACTGTTGAAAACTCTAAATCAAGATTCTGCATTACACTGATAACATCATACTTGTACTACATTCTACTGCATTTTGCACCATATGTATTCCTTTATTTTTGCTCTGCTCTGAACCTTCCACATCAATGCTTTTTGCACTATGTCTCTCCTACACTGTTTACATTCTGATTACTGCTGCACTTTATAAAGGAAAATGTTTCATTTCACTGCTGAGCTGCTTAAACACTGTTGGACAGCTGTATGCATTAATATTTTGTTTTATATGCACTCTGTGTATACTAAATGACAATAAAATTAGTCTAAGTCTAAAATGCATTATTTTTGAGGCTGTTACCTACAGTGAATTGTTAGAAACTTTAAGAAATATATACATTTTTTGTCAGGCACTGTTCAATGAATTAAATGATCAATTCAATCATTTAATGAAAAGAGCTCTTTGCAGCAATGAACATTTGGGATATTTTCGTGAATTAATTTGCATAATGCTACCACTAGATGACGCTCCAATGTACAGCTTGAGAGCAATGCTGATGCTGAGTCCTTAAAATTTATTTTGGGAAAGGTTAATTGGCATTAATGCATATTGCCAAGGATCATGAAGTGCTGAATCACGCCAAGGATTCCTCACTCTAACCTTTAAATCAAAAAGTATTTCAAGCCAAAGAATAATTACATTTATGTACATTTCAGCTAAAAAATGCTAAAAAGACTTTTTTTTTTTGCTAAGCTGTATCACCTAACTACCTCAGTGAATAGATTCTAATTGGTGATTGAGACAATTCATCAGAATGTTGAGGAGGGTTTATGTTGGATGTTATCTTGTTAAAGTCTAGGAAATCGTGTTTTCTGGACCAAGAAGCCTAATCCACAGGCTCAGTCATGTGGATGTAATTAGAGTGCAGTGAAGCAATCACATTATTTGGCCATTTTTTGAAGGCTTTGGAGGTTTATGCTGCGTCAGCGATTCCCAAATTCTGTTTGTTCATCACTGTGCTGACGAGAAAATACACAATATATCTGAAAACTTGACCTTGGTTCATATGATGTACCCTTTGTGGATCTCTCTGGAGAACTTCAATTATTATAGCAAAAACAATAATAAAAACAATGCAAAACTGAGCATAATTAGAAAAAAAAACAAGCCTGAAGCTGGAATCTTAAAGAAAAGGCCTGTTATTAAAACATATCGTCTCTTCTAATTCCTTTGCAGCTTGTTTAAAGGTGAATGTCAGCAGCCAGTGAAATAAGAGCTACAGTGGTTATTTAGTGGTACAGGAACTCCTTACTGTATATTTGATTGAAAATACTCGTTCTAGTTTTTCCAGGTTTTCAGACATGCACTAGCATGCCCATATGTGGTTTTCACTGATAACTGATAAGGTGTAAAATTTAAAACTGTTTCATTTTCAGCCTTATAGCGTGATTTTAGAGTTAAAGAAAGTTTCCCTAATATTATCTCATTAGAGCCTCTGTTGGATACTTTTTCCTGTTCTCTGCACCAGTCAGAGGAAATTACTCTAATCTGCTCCCTGAAAAAAAAAGGACATAAATTAGGGATTATGAGAGGATAATAAACTTTGATTTGAAGTCTTGCTGTTTTAGTAGGGTCTTGTACAGCCAGTTCAATGAGTGCACTTTTTAATGGCATGCAACTAAAAATTGAGCCAAGATAAAAATTGGCTGCAATGATTTGCCTTTAAATACTCAAATGGGCATGAACGTCAAACCCCAAAATGTTTCCACTCATCTTTACTTTTATTATCAATAGTTCATTACTACATACTGTATAATTTTTTATTATTCACAGTTTTATCTTTCTTTTATCTATCTTTTATCTTATTTGTAGAGCTATCATAACCTTTTTTTTTATTGTAGGTAAAAAACATAAAAACAACTAAAAACTGACATTTGTTTTGAGACAGTTTAGAAGTGAAGTAGAATAAAGAGAAAATCTCTGCAGAGCAGGAGATCCTGATGGAAACCAGATGCTGGAGAACAACAGGGAGGGCAGTTAGCTCAGGATATAACCCGTTTCCTCTGGGAATCCCTATCCCCAGACCACCACTAGGAAAAAGATTACACAAGACCCCTGCTCTACCTTCACTGAGCTGATTGTTGAGTGTAGGCAAACTGTGTGGGGTAGAGGGAAGAGGGTTTCTTTTCAGGAACTAACAAGTATGAACACATCTCAACACATTCAGCTTGGACTACTGTCGGCTAGACATGCGGTTTTAATGGTGCTAATGACTAATGGTTGGTACATTTTCAAGTTTGCAAATAAAGAAGCACAGTGGGTGTTTGTTTTGCTGACTGTTTGATCAGTGTTTCCTTGCTTATTCTCAGACTTTATGTACTGCCAGTGTTTCTTTGCTTTTGTTTTTTTTTTAAATCATGTTTCTGTGTGTTGCGATGCTTGACTGAAAAGGTACAACCTCTCTGCACGCCATCCCT